CCCCCAATGGCCTTAACAGCCCAAGCCTGGGCCAGGCTGAAGTCAGGAGCCTGGAGCTCCTTCTGGATTTCCCAGGTCAGTAGTAGGGCCCAAGCACTTGGGCTGTCTTCTGCCTCTTTCCCGAGCACATTAGCTTAGCAGAGAGCTGGATTAAAAGTGGAGCCGCAAACACTCGAGCTAGCACTCATATGCATTGCTGACCTCGCAAAAGGTGACTTAACTCACTAAACACCACCTCCAGGCCCTATCTGTATTTTTCCATTGGAAAACACTCTACTCCTAAATTATGCTAAATATTATACAATATAATAGATATTATACTAGAATATAAAATTTACTCTAATACAGGGCCCAGTGCGGTAGCCTAGTGGCTAAAGCCCTTGCCCAGCACATGCTGGCATCCCATATGGGGTGCCAGCAGCCCTGCTTCCCATCCAGCTCCCTGCTTGTGGCCTGAAAAAGCAGTCAAGGACAGCCTAAAGCCTTGGGACCCTGCACCTGTGTGAGACCAAGAAGAAGCTCCTGGCTTGTGGCTTCAGATGGGCTCAGCTCCAGAAATCTTTCTCTCTGTCTCTCCTTTTCTCTGTATATCTAGCTTTCCAATAAAAATAAATAAATCATAAAAACAAAAACATTCTAATGCAGATTATAGAATTATAAATGGGATACCTCAAAAAGTTCACAAAAGGTAATTTTCATACAAATTTTGAAATCTGTACATTTATTTCCTAATATACATCTCCTAAAAAGACTTGCTTATTTTTATTTATTTATTTATTTATTTAGATTTTTTTTTTTATTACAAAGTCAGATATACAGAGAGGAGGAGAGACAGAAGGGAAGATCCTCTGTCCGATGATTCACTCCCCAAGTGACTGCAACGGCCGGTGCTGCGCCGATACGAAGCTGGGAACCAGGAACTTCTTCCAGGTCTCCCACGCGGGTGCAGGGTCCCAAGGCCCTGGGCCATCCTCGACTGCCTTCCCAGGCCACAAGCAGGGAGTTGGATGGGAAGCAGAACCCCTGGGATCAGAACCAGCATCCATATGGGATCCCGGCGCACTCAAAGTCAGGACCCCAGCCGCTAGGCCACGCTGCCGAGCCTGCTTATTTTTATTTAAAAAGCAGAGTTAAATAGAAGGAGAGACAGAGATCTTCCATTGCTGATTGATTCCTCAAATGCCTGCGAAGGCCAGCACTGGGCCGGGTCAGAGCCAGGAGCCTCTGTGTCTCATGTGGTGTAGGGCCCCAAGCATCTGGACCATGTGCTGCTGCTTTCTCAGCCCATAGCAGGGAGCTGGATCACAGGTGAAGCAGCAGGGACTCAAACTGGCACCCAGATGAGTTGCTGGCCCTACAGGCAGAGGCTCACACAGCACCGACTACCCTTATGTACATTTTTCAGAAATTTTTTGAAAATCTCTTTCTTTTTTATTGTTTCAGTTATGACCTTCAAAGTGGAATATTAACATTTTACACAGGGCTTTATTTTATAAGTATGAATTTTTGTTATTAGATTTCTTTGCTATGTTTGGGGCCTTAAAGTTTATTTTGGCTTGCAAATCTATGGTCGATTTTTTTTTTTTTAATTTTAGGAAGATGATTAATCTGAAAAAGAGGTATAACTGGTTTGGGGTGGTGTCTTGGCATTACTAATAGATCTTGTTGATGCTGTGGGTTGGAACCAGTGACTAGACAACCATTAAAGGGAAGCTTTCACTGTTCCCTTAATGTGTACTGAGAAGTGAAACATTTCCCAAAGCCCTGCTACAGGAACTAACTTTCTCAAGATAGTATAGGAATAGTAAAAACAGATATCTGTTTTACAATCTGACCTGCCAGTTAAGATGGTATTTAGGGGGCCCAGCGCAATGTCTTGGTTGGCTAATCTTCCCCCTGCAGATACTAGGATCCCATGTTGGTGCCAGTTTGTGTACCAGCTGCTCCACTTCCCATCCAGCTCCCTGCTTGTGGCCTGGTAAAGCAGCGGAGGATGGCCCACAGACTTAGGACCCTGCACCCAAATGGAAGACCCAAAAAAGTTCCTGGCTTCAGATCAACTCTACTCCAACTGTTGTGATCACTTAGAGAGCAAACTGGTAGATGGAAGGTCTTTGTCTTTCTCTCTAAAATCTACCTTTCCAATAAAAATAAACAAAAATGGTATTTAGGACACAGGCACTCCATGTTGGAATACCTAGGTTTAAGTCCCTGCTCCAGCTTTCAGTTCCAGTTTTGTGCTGGTGTATCCTCTGGGAAACAGCAGATAATGGCCCAAGAACTTGGATTCTTGCCACTCATGTGAGTCACGGATTGGATTCCAATGCTGGCCATTTTGGACTTCGGGAGTAAACCAGTAGAAGGGAGCTCATTCACTCTGTCTCAAAAAAATATTTTAAAATGTTTACCCACTGACTGCATGTAGCTAGACTTAAAAAAAAAAAGATTCACTGAAAATGTTGGTAGAGTGATAAAGAAGAGATGTGCAGAGGCCGGGGGTGTGCTTTGGGGGGAAGCAGTACCTTCCATACAGTGCTTCACAATCCAGATGCCTGTGACAGCAGGTTGGTCTAAGCCAGCAAGGTTATGAGCCAGGAACTCCTTCCAGTGCTCCTAGGTGGACTGGAGCTGTTACCTACTGACTTCTGGGTGTTAGTATGAGCAGAAAAAGCCATGTACCCCAGACTCCAAATGACACTTCAGTGTGGAGTGGGGCATCCAATTACACCTGACCCCACGGTGTCCAACATCTGCCCCAGCATTTAAATTCTATCGCAAAAGATTTATGTATATGTATGTATGTATTTGGGCCTGGCTCAATAGTCCATTGGCTAAATTCTCGTCTTCCATCCACCAGGATCCCATATGGGCTTTGGTTCGTATCCCTGCTGCTCTGCTTCCCTTCTGACACCCTGCTTGTTGTCTTGAAAAGCAGTAAAGAATGGCCCAAGGCCTTGGGACCTGGCACCCACATGGGAAACCTAGAGAAAGCTCCTGACTTACGGTCAGCTCAGCTCCAGCCATTCGGCCAGTTGGGAAGTGAACCAGCAGATGGGAGATCTTTCTCTCTGTCTTTTCTTCTCTGTGTAAATCTGCCTTTCCAATAAAAAAATGAATCTTTTTAAAAATATATTTATTTGAAAGGCAGAGTCACAGAGAGGAAGGAGTGGAACTTCTCTCCACTGGTTCACTCAGCAAATATCTGCAACAGCAGGACATGGCCAGGCCAGAGTCAGGTGCCAGGACTTTCCTCTGGGTCCGCCACATGAGTGACAGGGCCATTAGCTGCTGCTTTTCCCAGGCCATTAGCAGGGAGTTGGACCAAACGTAGAACAGCCAGGACGTGAACCAGCGTGTATAGGATGACTGCATCTCAGGGCGTGGCTTACCTAGATGACAGCATCACAGGGTGTGACTTAACTGGCTGTGCCATGACACCAGCCCTTTTGTTTCTTTTAATGAGAAAATATTGAATTTACCCAGTTATTAACTGTTTTCTAAACAGTTATAACTCAGTAGTGAGGGTAGTGTAGATTATATTTTAAGTTATTTACCCTATTGAATGAGTATAAAATTCCTAGCTAGTTTATAACAAGACATGGTAGAAATTTAGTATTGGGGTTCTACAGTGGTTATTTAATCATGGATCCGTGTGAGGTTACTAAAATCAACAATGGGAAACACCATCCTTAAATTAATCAATCTTGTTTTGATGTAGTATTATCCACATGCTAATGAATATTCCATATGAATGTTTTTTCTCAGCTGGTATTATTTCTTCTATTTCTACATGTCATCTGTTTTCTAAACTGAATCACCTTTTAAAAAAATTGTTTGTTTAGGGCCTGGCATAGTATGCTAATCTTCACCTATGGTCCCAGCGTCCCATGTGGGCACCAGTTTTAGTCCTGTCTGCTCCACTTGTGACGCAGCTTCCTGCTTACAGCTTGGGAGAGCAGCAAAGGATGGTTCAATTCCTTGAGCCTGTAACCCTTTTGGTGACCCAGAATAAGCAGTCCTGGCTTTGGTCCAGCTTAGCTTTGGCAGCCATATTGGGGCTGAACCAGTGGATGGATGATCTCTCTCTCTCTCCTTATCTTTATAACTGTTTTTCAAATAAAAATAATATTTTTTAAAAAAAAATGTTGGACAGAGATTTAGAGAGACAGGTTGAAAGAGTTCCCTTCCACTGGCTCACATCCTTACTCAGCGCCTGCAATGGCTGAGGCTGGGTCAGGACCAGAGTACGAGCTAGACACACAGTCCACATTCTTCTGTGAGTGGCAGGAACCCAGGGCTTGAGCCAGTGCTGTTCCCTCCCAGAGCCTACGCCAGCGGGTCGCCAGTCAGGACCTGGAAGCCACACGTCAAACTCAAGCACTTTTGCATGGGCCGCAGATGTATCTCTCATTGGGTTAAACTCTGTCTGCTCTCTTGACTGTTGTCAAGATGTGTAGCACATACCTCAGATTGACAGCCATCTAACATATTTTCTTTGACAGCTTAGTATAGGAAGTATGTTATACCACAGAAACTTTAGGAATTATAAATAATGCTGTTCCCAGTGACTGTTACTAAGACAGTCACAGTACTGTAAGTCTGCAAGAATCAGTCTTAGGTATTCTGAGAAGACTTCTCAGAAGTTACAGGAAATTTGAAGAGATAATTTAATAATGAGTTTATGTAATGAATACAATGAATTTTCAAATACAGTTTCTAACTAAATAGACCTTTAGTTATTTGGAGAGGGGCACCTAATAAGTGGAAACTACATAGAAAAGTTTGAGAGTTTAATACTTTTTTTCTGCACAAAATAAGAAAATACCTCTTAAACCTTTCTTTCTACTCTTCCTTACTAAAGTAATGAAATTAGACCCAGTGTAGTTTGACTTGTTTGTGACATTGACCTGAGCCAATGACAGATTTCATTTTGTCTTCGTAAATTCTGTGTCAAGAAAGTTTATCTTAACAAGTCCTTTTATTTGTTTTTGGTTCTCTAGCTGTCTGAGGGAAACCAGAAGCATGCGATCTTGCAGAAAAACATTGAGAAAGCTAAAATTGGCCGACATGAGACGGTAAGTTGGTGTCCAGATTCCTTAATAATGACGGTTCCTACTAGAGTAAGGGCCGCAAGCTGTCTGTGAGGAGGATGCCACTCCTGGGGGAAGAGCTTAACACAGCAAAAGGCACGGACACTTCACCTGGGAGGATCAGACTTCTTGTCACTGTTCCTGCTGGTATGGCCGCATTAGCAAAGGAGACCCTCCCCCCAAGGGCCAGGCAGCCTGGGTTGGAAAGCCTCCCACATTCTCTGCTCTCAGTTGTAGAATGGAAATAATGAAATCTACCTCACTCTTTATTGGTGGGCTAAGCTACTTAGTACTTGCAAAGCCCTTGGAAAAGGATTTAGTACAGGCAAGGCCTGCATAAATGTAAACTTCAGTTTTTAAGGAATTTTTATTTTCTCTAATTTGTTGCACAACAGAGTGAAAAATAGCAACACAATGTTTGTAGGATGGTAATATTTTTTAACTATTTAAATGACGATCCACCTACTTTGTAAGAACTATCCTCTAAACACTATATTTAAAAATTTTATTTTTAAAAATTGGTTTACTTTCTAGTGTCATAATGTCAGGAAGGGTAGTAACCAAACAGTGTTGAAGAACAGTGTGACCACAAGCCATTTCAGCTGTTTCTTTGTCACTGATTGTCATATGTTGGCAGCTGTGTCTCACAGCCTTATGGTAGCTTTATGCGTTCGTAATTAATTCACATTTTTCTTATGTGTGAACTGTCTGCAAAGTCAGCTAGGAACTGCAGAATGATCATTTCTGCAGAATATTCAAGAAAAGATCTTTGTGGAGCATGACGTAACTGTGCTGTAGTTAACAGGCATGATTACCACTTTAGTTGATCCTCATTTTTTTCGTATGAATGACACTGGGAATAATATGGAAAAACATCTTCACCTAATAATGACACGCCTTTGCCCAGAAGTGTCAACCAGTTAGTCTACTGTTTGCCCAATGAAACCAGTGCAACTTAGGCGCTGGGAGCAAACCCTACTGGCAAATCTAGCTGATACTGGCACCTGTCAAGAGAGTATAGTAACTCAGAAAGATTACTGAGAAAGACCAAGTCTTCTGCTTGGTGAGACGTGAGGCATTTTCAGAAGCAGCAGGCCCCTCTATGCTAGATACTCATGCTGTGGAGAAAAACAAGTAGCTAACATGTTTGTTTTGCTGTGAACCAGGCAAGTGCTATTAAGATGCATTTCTTGTGTTCTTTGAATCCTGTGAAACAATCCTGCAAAGATACCCCTGTCACTGTCTTAACATTTGGGGAACCAGACATATGAAGAAGTCAACTAATTTGGCAAAGACCACAGTGCTAGCAAGCACCGTGTCTGTGATAGGAGGGCTGTCAGTGCGATCTTGTGGATGTGTGTCCCTCTGTTGATATTGGAGAGCTGTCATTGTGTTCATGTGAATGTGTGTCCCTCTGATTGGGGAGCTGTCAGTGTGATCACATGGATGTGTGTTCCTCTGAATGGGGAGCCGTCAGTGTGATCACATGGATGTGTGTCCCTCTGTTGATATTGGGGAGCTGTCATTGTGTTCATTTGAATGTGTGTCCCTCTGATTGGGGAGCTGTCAGTGTGATCACATGGATGTGTGTCCCTCTGATTGGGGAGCTGTCATTGTGATCACATGGATGTATGTCCCTCTGAATGGGGAGTCGTCAGTGTGTTCATGTGAATGTGTGTCCCTCTGATTGGGGAGCTGTCAGTGTGATCACATGGATGTGTGTCCCTCTGATTGGGGAGCTGTCATTGTGATCACATGGATGTATGTCCCTCTGAATGGGGAGTCGTCAGTGTGTTCATGTGAATGTGTGTCCCTCTGATTGGGGAGCTGTCAGTGTGATCACATGGATGTGTGTCCCTCTGATTGGGGAGCTGTCAGTGTGTTCACATGGATGTGTGTCCCTCTGATTGGGGAGCTGTCATTGTGATCACATGGATGTGTATTCCTCTGATTGGGGAGCTGTCAGTGTGTTCATGTGAATGTGTGTCCCTCTGATTGGGGAGCTGTCATTGTGATCACGTGAATGTGTGTCCCTCTGATTGGGGAGCTGTCAGTGTGATCACGTGGATGTGTGTCCCTCTGATTGGGGAGCTGTCATTGTGATCACGTGGATGTGTGTCCCTCTGATTGGGGAGCTGTCATTGTGTTCATGTGAATGTGTGTCCCTCTGATTGGGGAGCTGTCATTGTGTTCACATGGATGTGTGTCCCTCTGATTGGGGAGCTGTCAGTGTGATCACATGGATGTGTGTCCCTCTGAATGGGGAGCTGTCTGAGTGTGCACGTGGATGTATGTCCCTCTGCTGCCTCTGACTGCATTAGCTTTCTCCTCATTTGTTTTTCCTCCATTTCTTTTTCAAAAATGTACTTATTATTCACTTGAAGATCAGTTACACATTGAGGAGAAGCAATAGATATCTTCCATTCTTTACATGATGCTCCAGTAGCTACAATGGATAGGACTGGGCAAGCCTGGTTTCAGCAGCTTGCAGCTCCATCCAGGCCTCCCATGTGGGTGGCAAGGTCAGTGGTTTGCTGCTTCCCCAGGTGCATTGGTAGAAGGCTAGATCAGAAGTGGACCTGCTAGGATGCAATCTGGTGCTTGTGTGGAATGCCAGCACTACCAGTGGTAGCTTCACTCATTGAGCTGCAATGTCAACCCTTGGTTTTGCTTTTGCAGCATATGTTATATGGGTGAGGATAATAAATAATAGTCATCTTGTGTTCGAGACTTTTAAATTTTGTGTTTGTTTATTAGAAAGGCAAAGATTGGCAGCAAATGAGGGAGAGAAAGAGACACACATCTGCTCATTCTGTCCCCACATGTCTGCAGTAACCAGGGCTGTCCAGAACCAGGAGCCAGGATCTCCATACTAGTCTCCCCTAGGTGACAGGATCCCAAGTTCTTAGGCCACCTTTGGCTGCACTCCCTGCCACTTGACCAGGAAGTTGGATCAGTTGTGTTGTCTGGAGTTGAAATCAGCTTCTTATACAATACAAGTAGCCTGTGGCACCACTGCACTGCAGGTGCCATGCTTGGTGGTGTTTTTTTACACCTGAGCTGTGTTGTCTAATGTAATACACACACACACAAACACACACACACACACCTTGGAGAGTGCAGCTCTGGAACTTTCCTGTCAGTGCAGAGAGCATGTGCTTTGAGTAGGCATTCTGGGCAGAGGAAAGCCTAGGAGCTGGACAGTGCAGCCCATTGGGGAGCTAACAGTAAAAGTAGGAAAATCCCCACACCCACTACAGGGTAACAGAGATCCTGAGATGCAGCTCATTGAGGCAGCTGGATTGTGCCTCTGATTTAAAGTTCTTTACTGTAAGCTTTGCTAGCATTTTTATTTGTATCTAACCTTTCATAAATATGAGCTGATGCCTGTGGTATCATAAGATTGACCTATTAGAACTGTAGCTAGAAGTTTCAAATGATATCCGTATGTTGTAATTAAAACCTTTATTCGTATTTACTTTTAAAGGAAAGTAGCTGAAGGCCTCAAGCTTGGGTTAAACTGCTGGTGCAGTGCTGGTATCCCTTATGAGAGTCCGTTTTTGTTGCTGCTGCTCTACTTTCAATGCAATTCCCTGCCACCATCGCTGGGAAAGCAGCAGATGCTGCCCAGATCCTTGGACTACTGCACCCAAGTGGGAGACCCAGCAGAATCTCCTGGCTTTGCCTTGGCCCAGTCCTAGCCAGTGCAGCCATTTAAATAATAGATAAATGAATAAATTAATTTTAGAAAAGTTGTCTGGAATACTTTTTTAAGGTTTATTTTTTATTTGAATGGCAGATGTTTTGGGTCTGGCATAATAGCCTAGTGACTAAGGTCCTCACCTTGGATGTGCTGGGATCCCATATGGGTGCCAGTTCATATCTTGGCTGCTTCACTTTCCTTCTAGCTCCCTTTTTGTGTCCTGGGAAATCAGTCGAGAACGGCCCAAAGCCTTGGGACCCTGCACCCACATGGGAGATCCAGAAGAAGCTCCTGGCTCCTGGCTTCAGGTGGGCTCAGCTCTGGCTGTTGTGGCCACCTGGGGAGTGTACCAGTGAATTGAAGACCTTTCTCTCTCCTCTCCGTAAATCTGACTTTCCAATAAAAACCAATAATTTTTTTTTAGAAGGCAGATTTTGCAGAGAGAAAAGCAGGTACAGATTCCATCCACTGGTTCATTCACTAAATGGCTGCAGTGGTCAATGCCTGGAGCTTTCTCTGGATCTTCCAGGTGAGTACAGAGGCCCAAGGACTTGAGCTGTCTCTACTGCTTTCCCAAGCCATGAACAGGGAGCTGGATTAGAAGTGAAGCAGCTGGCAAACTGACACCGTTATGGAATGCCAGCACTGCAGGCAGAGAATTAGTTTGCTGTGCCGCCATGCTAGCCCCTAGAATACTTTCAAAATACATAGTTATTTCTGTTAAATGCTACTTAATTTTAATACAATCTTGTGATATCATCCAAAAAGCCATACAGTAATTTTTCCTAGTATGATGACAATCTTGTGTGCATAATTTTACCTCATCTGTTTTTGAACATTTATTCCGTTTCCTATGTCTTCAATATATTTGTTTAAAATGCATGAAATTTCAGAGAAAAAATTGAACTTGTTCCTATGCTAACTAAATGTATATAATGTCAAAAACCTAATGTACATCATGTACCAGAAATAAAGTATAAAATATATTATGGCATAACAGGATGTTCTTTGTCTTAATTGAACATAAAATTATTTCGAATGCAGGAAGAACGAACTATGCTAGCAAAAGAGCTTGCTTCACTGCGGGAGCAAAGGGAGCAGCTGAGAGCAGAAGTGGACAAATATAAGGAATGTGACCCGCAAGTCGTAGAAGAAATACGTAAGTGTATACCTCGACTCGAGGGTCTTTACTGGATGAATGAGTAGCTACTTGGAGTTGCCTGGTAGCCATTCTCAGTACATGAAAGAATAGAGCCCGTTAGAATAACATTCTGCTTGAGTGCTATAATTTTACATTTGTAGTGCAATACCTTGATATTTCCTCCAGTAAGTCTAGTGCTAGAGCACTCAACAGTGACAGCTGCGACATTGTACGCATCTAAGACGTCGGGAAGGTGGGAAACTGGGAGTTCAGTGAAGGAGCTACTTTGGTTCTTGATCCTCAAAAGAGATCCACTTCTATCATTCAGGAAAAATGATACCGTAAGACGATAGGAGAGGGTGGGGTTGAAGGCTTTGAGAGAAATTGGGGACTGTTTGGTTGCAATTAAGCTGACCTAATCCATCATGAATTCTTTTTGCCACTGAAATTAATGAGTAGTTCAGTTGGTGTCTACATAAATCTAAAGCTTCATTTTACATGTAAGCCCCTGTCTGGCCTCACTCCAAAAGGCACAGTTCATACAGACGGTGTACACAGCCTCAATGGTATCACTTGCCTTAGCAGGTAGGGTGATTGATCTCTCAAGCTTTGTTTTATTTACTTGGAAGACAGAGTTACAGAGAGAGAAGGAGAGTTAGAGGGGTCTTCCATCCATGTGCTGGCTCACTCCCCAGATGGCCATGGCTGCTAGGACACAGCAAGACTGAAGCCAGGAGCCAAATGCTACTTCAGAGTCTCCCACGAGAGTGCAAGGGCCTGAAGACTTGGACTACGTGGGGCTGCATTCCCAGCCTCATTAGTAGGGATCTGGCCTGGAAGTGGAACAATTGGGACTGGAACTGGCACCCATACAGGATCTTGACATTACAGATGACATGATTTTTAAAAGAGAGGTGGAGGCAGAATTCTCAAGCTAGTTGATTCTTTGTAAATGAAGTATTAGGGCAGATGTGTTAGCTTTTTCGTGTTGCCTACAGATTGATTTATCATCAGGAGAAAGCGCTGTACAAGTCTGAAATAAAATGAAACCCTTTATAATCTATTTGAAAGTTTTAGGAAATTATCAGCAAGCTCTAAGTGGATACAGCCACGTCATAGCAGCCTATGGTTGATCTTGAAAAGGGATCCAGCACAATGGCTCCTTGGATTAATCGTCACCTTGCATGAGCTGGGATGTCATATGGGCACTGGTTCATTTCTCAGCTGGTCCACTTCCCATCCAGCTCCCTGCTTGTGGCCTGGAAAAGCAGTGGAGGACAGCCCAAGGTCTTGGAACCCTACACCCACGTGGGAGACCAGGAAAAAGCTTCTGGCTCCTGACTTCGGATTGGCTCAGCTCCAGCCATTGCAGCCACTTGGGGAGTGAACCAGAACGAGGGTCTTTCCCTCTGTCTCTCCTCTCTATAAAATCTGCCATTCCAATACAAATAAGTAAACTCTTTTTTAAAAACTGTGGCACAGACTACGTGTTTGGGAGGTGTATCACATGTGTGCACCTTGTCTTGAGTGGCATGTCGTAATGGAGAACTTCTTATCCAGGTTTAATACTTCATACTTCCAGGAGACTCATGTCATAATGGAAAGCCTGATTTTACAATGACTATCTGATGCTTGTTTGCTTTCTTGCTGATTTCAGTTTTATTTAATTCTTATATTGTGGAGTTCCACCTCTTTCCTTGGCCAGAACAGATCTGAAGCGAGGAGCTTCTCTAAGATCTTTCACATAGGTGCATAGGTGGACCATCCTCTGCTGCTTTTCCAGGCATATTAATTGACGGGAGCTGGATTGGAAGTAGAGCATCCAAGACTCAAACCCCAGTGCTGGCAATCAATGCTGGCAATACAGGCAGTGGCTTTACCCACTAAGCCATAATGCCAGTCCAGAGGCTTCAGCCCTTGGCTCTACCCACTAGGAGCTTCAGCTTTTCGGCTTTGTCTTCCTCACTGTACCACCAGGTGATCCTGACACACATCACTGCCAGCTTTGACTTCTCAGCCTCCTTGTCTTTTTCATGATTTTGGTATTATTTTCCTGCCTAGGAAGGACTGAAGCCGTTATTGGGCTTACTAAGCTACTTAGTCGTACACCTAGGGGCAAGCTAAGCCGAGGTGTCACTTATGGGCTGAAGCAATCATCAGAGAACTGTGCCTAACTTTTCCCTGTAGTGGGGAGTCTTTCATTTCAGCCATGTGATGTCTTCAGTGTCTGAACCAGGCAGCAGTTTTAACAAGAGCCTCACCTGAAGGGAGTAGTAAGATGTGAAGGGAGAAATTTCATAGTATAGAAAGGAGATGGGATTTCTGGAGAGTTGGATAACACAGTAGAAGAGCAACTGCAAGTAAAATTTTGTATGAATTGATTGCTTTTATTCTGTTGTCCATCTCTTGAGTTTAGAAGTTGGGAAATCTGTATTCCAACCCAAGGAAAACATGCTAATGTGAATAAGTATAATGTAACAGTGAGGAGAAGGTAAAGCTTTCCAAATTTCAATGTTAAGAGACTTTGTCATTTTCCATAGGTTTTCAAACATACATTACTTCCTAATGGTCTTCTAAAGTGCTCTATGTAGTTGGGTCCTGCAAGATTTATTTTGGTAAATCAGAGACATACTATTTTTTTGGCTTAGGAATAAAAGGGTAAATGTCCTTCCTTCTGGTTTATGCCATTTTGTTTTGTTTTTAAAGATTTATTTGAGGACCTGGCACGGTAGCCTAGCAGCTAAAGCCTTTGCTTTCCAAATGTCAGGATCCCATATGGGTGCTGGTTCATGTACCAACTGCTCTGCTTCCCATCCAGCTCCCTGCTGTGGTCTGGGAAAGCAGCAGAAGATAGCCCAAAGTCTTGGGAACTTGCACCTGTGTGGGAGACCCAGAGGAGGCTCCTGGCTTTGGATCAGATTGGCTCTGGCTATTGTGGCCGCTTGGGGAGGTGAACCAGCAGGTGGAAGATCTTTCTCTCTGTCTCTCCTCTTTGTAAATCTGCCTTTCCAATAAAGATCTTTAAAAAAAAATGTATTTGTTTGAAAGTCAGAGGGAGAGACAGAGACCTTCCATCCACTGGTCCACCCCTGAATGGAAGCATCAGCAGAGGTTGGGCCATACTGAAGACAGGGAACAGAATTTCATCGGGGCTGCCCACCTGGCCCCAAACACTTGGACCAGCTTTCACAGCTTTTCCTAAGCTGTTAGCAGGGAGCTGAATCAAAAGTGGAGCAGGGCCCTAGTGGCTAAAGTCCTCATCTTGAACACGCCAGGATCCCATATGGGCGCCGGTTCTAATCCTGGCTGCTCCACTTCCCATCTAGCTCCCTGATTGTGGCCTGGGAAAGCAATCAAGGACGGCCCAATGCTTTGGGATCCTGCACCCATGTGGGATACCCGGAGCAAGCTCCTTGTTCCCTGCTTCGGATCGGCGCAGCACCAGCCATTGCGGTCCCTTGAGGGGAGAATCATCAGACAGAAAATCTTCCGCTCTGTCTCTCCTCCTTTGTAAAAATAAATCTTTAAAAAAAAAAATGGAGCAGCTGTGGCATGAACAGGAGCCCATAGGATATGCCAGCATCTCAGATAGTGACTGCTGGCCACATTGCAATGCCAGCCTCATTGTGCAGGTTCTATTTATTTATTTTTTTTTTTCATTCCACTAAAGATCATTTTTATGGAGAACTTATTAGAAAATACATTTTATACCTAGTAGACATGTAGAATAATTTGCTATCCCATAAACCTATACTAGATGTGAGTATGATTTTTTTCCTCAGGAATGCCTCTAAACTCCATGCACAAGAAAAACAGTCAATGTGTGTGTATCTGTAAAAACTTTATATTGACTTCAGTTCATATTTTTATGAAGATATGTCCAACTCCTCTGCTTTTAAAGTTCAGAGCAACAGATATGAAACTTCATACAGTTGCAGCACTTCTGCTTCCAGCCAAGGTATTAATGGCCTCCAGATTGATCTTTCCTGCTAAAACCAACCAAAATCTACAGAGTGCTTTTAGTAATTGCCATCAGGCTACGAAAGGCAGTGGTTCTGTGAAAAAGGAAGCAGGTAAAATGAGCCCTGCCCTTGGCCCTGCTTATTTTGCTGAGAGTTTTCCTGGCAGCAGTACGCGAAGGAGAGCCCAGGCAGGCCTCTAGTTTCCAGAGCTAAGGACATGCTGGGCTGACAGCCAGCAAGAGCAACATGGTCAGAGTTGAGAGGGTGGTGTGGGAGAGAGCAGAAACTCAGCATCCCCTATAGAGGGTGCCCCTCAGGTACCTCCTGCAGGATGGAGGAGGACCCCCAAAGCAGGGGTGCAGTGCTCCTGGAAGTCTTGCCCAATGGGACGGGATTATTAACCCTAGGTTGAACTCTGCCCTGGACCTGCCCAACAAGCTCTAAGACCAAGATTCAGAAGGATCACACTGCTGCTAAGTCACTGATACGTCCCAGAACAGAGCTAAACATTTCTGAGTACCAAACTACCTAGCAGCCAAAATGTGTGGCAATTAAGCAAAGATCACCTGGCATGCGGGAGGGCGGTGGGGGGAGGGTAGAAAATATGATTCATAATGAGACAATAATCCATTGCTGAAAACAGATCCAGCAAGTTAAATTAACAGAGCCCAAATTTGTAAGAGTTGTTACAGTTACATTGCATCTGTTGGAAACTTAAGTCGAAACACGGAAGACATTTAAAAGACATAAAAGCTACTTTGTCTGACAAGAAGAAGAGTGGATTGGATTAACATAAGATCAAATGTGACAAAAAAGAAGAAATAGTGGTTTAAAGTCATAACAATAGAAATGATCCAGAATGAAACACCCAGAAATCATTTGAAAAGCTTGCAGCAGCATGCATGATCTGCAGGACAGCCTCAGATGACGTCACGTCTGTGCTTGAAATCCTGGAAGGAGTGTGTTCAGGAAGGGGACATCGGTGAACTGGAAAAAGATCTCAAGAAACTAGCATTTACTAAAATGAAAAGTAAAACCCTACAGGTTCGGGAAACC